CAATTGTTCCTAAACTTTGTTTGCTCAGAACTTTTTTATTCTATCATAACCCTACATTTATTTTTGCAGTTTCTAATAGTAAATTTAGTTTAGAATCTTTTATCACTCTTAGAGAATATTGATAAAAACCACCGTTTTCGTATTAAATGCAAAAATGTTAGGCTCCGAATTCAATAACACTAAAAAAAAATAAATAAATAAATAATCTGAATTGGCAATGACAAGTGAAAATCGAACTGATCTGTCATAACTATTATGTATGCAACATGTCCAAGTGTAGATTTGCTAAATCACATTTTTAATTTGTTTTAGTTGGTTTAATAAAAGAATTCGAAAACAATAAATTAAAAATCAACAAAAAATAAACAAAAAAACGACAACACTAACAGGAATAATAAAAACATACATAAAATAACAAGACAAGTAATAAAAAATACTAAAGGAAATGTTCAAAAACTTAGATTTCTTTCTTTTTTAGTGCTATTAATGAAATCGGAACCCAACATTTTTACATTTAACACGAAAACGATGACTTTTATCAATATTATCTAAGAGTAATAAAAGTTTCTAAATTAAATTTGCTATTAGAAACTGCAAACATAAATGTACGGTTATGATAGAATAAAAAAGTTCTGAACAAACAAACTTTACGAACAGCTTGTATAGCATTGTTCCCGATGACCGATCCAATTCATAAATTGCCTAACGATTTTACATGACATTGATTTACACTGTACCAAATTTCAACGCTTTACTGTAAATAGTGTTTAAGATGTTTGGAAAAATGTGTTAAAATTTCCTAACTTTTATGGCCTGTATCTTTGAAATTTGATTATGAAAATTTGATGATGATTTTTACTAATTTTTTTTACATGAATCGTCATCATTTTCACTCTAGTATATGGTTAAATTTGTTCCCCGAGTCACCGAAACACCCTGTATACAGGTGTCTTTTTTCTGCTAAAATTACATTCAAAATGGATGTATTGCATATCAATGGATTCAGGAAAACAATCTCTATCTAATGACGGGAAGAAAAATATATGGAGCAATTTGAAAAACAAAAGTTAATAATTGCTTAAAATTGAAGATGGCCTTGAAAAAAATTTATTTGTAGCATGAATCATAGTATTCATCAAACCATTTCATGTGATGCCTCGATCATGAAAATCGGAATATAAATGACAGAGGTACAGCTTATTGTTTCTCTGTAAGTAGATAGTACTTTCTCTTTTGTATTGTTGCTCGTTTCAATAAATTAAGTCTGTTCTGATTATGCTAAAAATGCGTTAGGTAATGAAACCAGTGCGGTAATGAACTTCATTACGTAACTTCGGTCGTTATAGAAGGCTTAAGAAAGGAAGGTTTCAGAAATTTTTAGAAGTTGGCTTTTAGAAAAATTGTATTGCTTCTTGACAATTGTACAGCACATCCTCATATAAATAATTTAAAGAATATAAAGCTGAAATTTCTCCCACCTAATACGACGTTATTAGTGCAGTCAACAAGGGCGTAGATATCTTTTATTTCTAGGGGGAGTAATTTAGAAACATTACAGCGTTATGCTCGCCAAATAGTGCTTAGAATCAAGGTTTATGGGGGAAAATAAAATAAACATTAACTTCAGAAATTAGAAATCATAATTATTGCTAAAGCCCTAAAGTAGTAGTAAATTAAAAAATATATATGAAACTACACATTAAAGGGGGTAATTACCCACCCCCCCAGAATAAAGAAAAGAAAATGTGTAGTTTCATATAGTATAGTTCCTTATATCATATAGTTCCTCTAGGAAATCTAAATTTAGGATAAGTCAGCCTCAAGCATTCTTATATACTGCCAAGAAATTTTATTTCTCATTACCAATTTTCCCCAAGAAGTTTCGTTTGACTTTTATATTTGAAAAGCATTTAATCGGTGATTTATAAAATTTTTTTGATTTTTGAAAAACCCATTCAACCTGGAAATTTAAAAAGTAAAATTTAACATCAAACAATCTTTTATAACATCATAATTGTTTTATTTTTCAATTTCATTCAATTTTAAATAAAAAAATGTTTTTCTTAAACCTTTTCTTCAAAAAGCGTAAAATGTTTTCTCTTATAAGAGCAAAACCATCCAAGTTTATAGCCAGCCATATAACGAGAATATCTACATTCACATTAGCATTATGTACCTTTTTATTAGCACTGTATAGCCTTCCATTAGTGTTACCTCTTACTTCTGTTAGAGACTTTCTTCCAACACAAATTGCAAAGTAATTTATTTTTTTAATTGATACATATTTTCAAAGGTTTATTATTATATGTATAGAATGAAATTTTATATTTGATTTGCTGTTCATTTGAATCATTAACGAAGGTGCATTGATCAAGAACTGGATGTCTTCTATTCTGATATCTTTTCCTATACTCTCGCGCTGCTTCTGCTAGTTTTTGTTTGCGCAAATCCATAAACAAAATTAATATCCGCTAACTGGGATAAACGAAAAATAAACGGGATTTTATAAAGTTTTTATGCAAAAAACAAACAAAATTAAAAAATGAAAAAAATAAATTAACATGTTGAAGAAAAGAGTAATGAATAAATACATACATAGTAATCAACAGGAAAAAATGAAATTAAGACGTTAACGAATAAGAAAAATTAATTCAACACTCTGAAAAACAACTACTGGTGATTTGACACTTGACACAATAAACAATCTAAAACATTAGTTAAGTTACCTACTTTGTTTCCATGGCACACATTATTTTAACTACATATATGTAACTATCCTCTAAAAGAATTTGCTCTATATTGCCTAGCGGATTATCTTGAAAGCGATCACCTTTAGCGCATTTTGATAAGAAAGGATACCTTTTTGTTTAAAAAGTGTACAGAATAAGAATACAAATTTGAATAGAATCGGTTGCAAAC